TCTACTTGTACATGTGGGTGATTCTGCATAGAAGATAAATCTTCCAATTCAAGAGTGAGGGGCTGTCAAGTAGAGTTACAGGGAACAGAGTCCAATAAAAAGGAACTGTTCTCTTCTTCTAAGTGGTGACAGCCCTGTGGAACTTGCCACCAGAAGTTGCTGCAGATGCTGGTACTGTGGATCAGAAACTGGTCAAACACTTGAGAGAAAGATCTATGGAAGGCTTCTACCTAAGGGAATCATGTCAAGGTTGTGAGAGTCATGAGCTAAAAATAGTTGGAGTGTGGGAAAGCACCCAGAGGAAGTGTGCTTGCCCTGTTCTTATTCTCCCTCGGACAGCTGCTTTTGATCACTGCTGCAGAAAGAAAACTGGGCTGGGTGAACCTTTGGTCTGAACTGGTGGAGCTGTTTAGTTGGGAATGCAGGCAGTGATGTGACATATGCTGACCTGAGGAGCTGAACGATACTCGAGCTGGCTTTAAATGAGCTACCTCGGATGCCAGCAGCAGCCTGTCCTCTGGCTGCTCAGAGAGCTCATCCTTTCAGTGGCATCAATTAGCCTGTGCTGAGTTTCTTGCTGTCATCACTGGGATGTTCCCAGGACTCAGCTAGCTTATATAAAAATATTGCTGCGCTACACTACTATTTGCTGAATGGGTATACCCACTGGCTAAGTGGGCATGGTGGTGCACTAATTATTTTGGCAGGGTCTACAAATGTGAAGTTGCTAAATTCTCAAAAGCAGAAAAAATTATTCCAGATTCAACTCTGTTTGTTTCCATTTTCTATTTATTCATTTCACATATCTAATAATTTTTCTGAGTGTCAGCTCTAGTACACTTAGCTTGGGGTCTGAAAATTGTTAGAGGGTGGTAGTTTTTTTGGTTCATGCATAAAGATATGCAACCAGAACTGATGCTGTATCAAGAATAGATTCCAGTGTATTCTCATTTAACTGTGGTGGCTTCAAAGATCTCACAGCATTTGAAAATTAGTAAATAACTATTTTTATCACTAAAGTCAGCAGTTATGACTCAGAGTGTCCACTAAGGAAATGAACTCTATATAACAGGATTTTTTAAAAATAATGTCACTCTTTATCTTAACTACACTTTAAAAAGGAATGATGTCTATTATAGAAATGAAAATATTATATTGGTGTTATTATAAACTAATGAAGAAAGTTACTAAGTACTTATGTAATTAATATTATTGCACACTTTAATCATGTGATTCTCAGGGTCTCCAGTTGGGGGCACTGGGCAAACACAGAAACATGACAATGGCCAGCACAAATGAGACGTACCTAGTCCAGTATTCTGCTGAAGGGAAAAAAAAAAAAACCAAACCCAAGAAAAATCGATGTGCGATACAGTTGTCATTCTAGATTTAGGAATTTTTAAAGATTTAGTATATTTCAGAACTCTCTTGCTACTAACAAACAATTGTACTGTTTTGTCTTTTATTACCCATAAATCATCCAGTTTCTTTTGCAAAACTAAGGTTCAGTGATTTTAAAACCATCCCCTTAAGTAATAACTTCAAATTCTAATGGGCCCAGGTAGAAAAGTAATTAATTGTAAATTTAAAACGTTACCATTAAGTTTCCTTAAACATTTCCAGCCTAGGATAAATCATTGTCTCTACCTTCAATATTGCTATTTATTCATTTGCATCAAGGGGAGAGCTAGGAAAAAGTAGAAGATGCTCCTTATTAATGCATACTGTAAAGCCCAGCATGCTTTAGGGTCTGCATGGACCTGTACACACACAGATTTAGCAACTAAAGCAAGACTTAAGAAGATATGATATATTATTTTGTTCCAGGATTGTCAATTATGCTACTACAAATATGTCTTAGAGGCCAATGGTGGCTTCATGGTTTCAACTCACACTATTTAAAGAAAATATAAAGTATCAGTTCAGGAATTCATAGCCCTAATGTTGTTGATCAGGTTTTCTAAAACATGCCAGGCCAATCACTTAGAAATTTACCAAATTAGAAGTTAATTGGGTATTCAAAAGTAAAATTTGATAGCTGCAGCAGAAGAATGCATGAAAGGATACATGTACATATTGGGACTGCACATCTGTAAATGGATGTACCGATAAGGAAAGTAAGCATTAAATGTTGCCAAGCTCATAGTAGCCTAGATATTCCTTACAGCTGATATTTTTAAGTAGATTTTGCAATACTGCAATGGGTTTCCTGGTCCCTGGAGCTCCTGGCCTTCTATCTGACCTCTGGATTACAAGTTATGACTGCTTGCAAAGGATTGAAGCCAAAAGTTTTCATCCACATCACCGGCTGTCAAAACACAGGGACTTCTGTCTGGGTGTAGATACTTAGTTTTGGAAAGGCAGGATAGAACATTTTGTTCATCTTTCCTCGTGCTTCTCCACACACACACAGACACACACCAACACACAAACACACCGATGAAAAACCCAAAGCCCTAATCATGCTGTACTACTTTAGTATCTTCCACATAAACATAGAAAACAATCTATAAATTTTAAAACTTCATAGCAGCAAAAGCGTTAAACCCATTAGGCAATCAGAAAGCTGAAATAACTGTCAGCTGGCTGGTTGCAAGGTTAGGAAAGGTTCAGAAGTTCTAATTTCCAGTCCTTTAGTCTAAGCCCTAGGCCACAAATAAGAAGTTAGCCTGCAATTCGTGATCAACCTTGAAATAACAAAACTTGTTTATACCTTGACAAGCAGTGAAAGGTACCCATTTCACTTTATAAGACACTTATTGTTGCAAACCTATTAAAAAGCAAACACATTTTATATCTTAATGTTGCTTGAAGAAGATGAAGTTGCTCCTAGACCTCGAAACTTAGAATGAATTAAATGACACATGAATAAATATATATTAATCCTTTTTTATTAAAGTATCAAAACAAACTTGAGAATAAAAAACAAACTGCTTTTAATGCATTTTAAAGGTTCTCCTGAATAAAGTGTACTTTTAGAAAACTCATGCATGTTTAAACTAGCTTTTTAAAAACTCTGTTCATGGGCACAGTCAAATGAACTCGAGTACCATCATTGCTAGAGTAGCGTGCAAGAGCACGCATGCTCACACACATGCATACAAGCAGCAGAAAGCAACTAGGACTGCACATGTAAAGAAATAAAAATAGATTATCTTCTGACAGTAGTAGTGGTACCATGTTAACATTTGGCATGCTAAGTAAACAACATCAAGCAACAAAGCATGACGCCTGCGTCACCAGTGATACAGTTGAAAGCAACCATACAAATTCCCTAAGGGAGACACATGAATTCTGTCATTATATTCTAGTCTCTGTGGTAACACTGTAACAGTCTAGGAGGCAAACAGTTTTGTCTGTTTAGATCTATAGGCGTTCTCTGGTAAACAGCTGGCCCGATTCCCCATGGAACTTGACCTCTAAACCAGGGAAATAGCAGCAGAGGCTCCAAACTCTGCCTACAGGGCATGAATTAAACTCTCATTGAAGTCAATGGAAGCTCCTTCCAACATACAGAAAGACAGTGGATTCTCAGGACAGAATCAGACCTTGTATGTCATCTTTGCAATACATTCACTTTTCAGATACATGAAGTACATATCTTTTAAACATGATATAGGACATTACAATATATCCAGATCTTAGGAAAATGTACTAAGAAGTTCTGTTGCAGAATATAATGATCATATAAGGATCAGGTATGATATCTGATAGACTTGTAGGGCAAGAAGCTTATGGCTGAGGTATCTTTAATTTTAGCCTTTAGAACAAAACCACAATTTCAACACTGCATAACTGGTGTAGAATATGATCTACTGTAAGCTCCATTCTTATTGTCTGCTTCACTTGAATTGTAACATTGAGCAGCTAGACACCACTGATGGAGGTACAGAATTTTGGAAGGTATAATCTCTGCACCCAGTCGTTCAAGATGCTTAGTGCCTTATCTGTGGAAAAGATGAAGGATAAGTGTTTTCAATAGTGGTGTCTCAAATACAGCTGGTGAAGTTTAGGAATATATGGTACTAAACACCAACAGATAAAAGTAAAAAGACAGCCCAACACTTGTGTTTTCAGTTTTATCTTGCTTGCAGTATTTATTAACTTTACTCATTATGATATTAGTGATAAATAAGGATAATGTTTTCTTTTACAAAAAATTGTAAGGATATATTTTATAGGATTAAACAATCTGAGAATTTCACAGAAACATCAGAATTTAAACACTCATAGCTCCAACTGTTTTGTCCAGCAGCTCTTCTACCAGTTCAAAAACATTCATGGTTAGTATTTAATAAAAAATAAAAACAATTATTTACTACATCAAAACTCTTGCCTCCTTTAGATTCTAAGTAACATTTTTGATTGACTGCAGTTGCCACCCAAATGTAAAATAATAGTAGCTGCAATCATAATTTTTCCCTCTAAATCACCTGGCAAAAGGAAGTAATCCTGACCAGGATGGAAAAAGCTTTGTCAAGCTCTTATGCTTCTAAGAGCTATCTGCATAAGCAGACCCACTGAATTCCATGGAACCTCTCCTGTGAGGAAGGTTTAATAGCATGAATTAAGGCTTGTAGGATTAAATCCTAGATTTTTTTTTTTTCAGACTTTTCATGATTCATGAGCCTGGCGTTCAGTCCTGCAGTTCTTTACTCAGGCAAAACCTGTATGAATATCCCTCCAACAGTTCGTTTCCTCTTTCCAGTGGGTCCAACTCACCGAGTCACCAAGTGGTGGTATAAGCTGCCCTTCAGCAATCTAAGAAGAAATTGTAGTCCCCAAAGGATGGTAGGTGGGTTTCCAGCTCATAAAATACAAGCTTAGCTACATGGACATTTTGCAATAAACATTTCTTTGTCACACCTACTGGGCTTTTCAAATTCAGTCTCTGAGATGAGTCATTGAAAAAAACCCACACAAATGTTGTGAGAGAAATGACAAAGCTCAGTTGGAACTAAAGGCTGTTTGTGTGTTTATGTATGTGTATGTTAAGTTAGAATGCAACATTGCATATCAGTACATTCTGCCAGAAACCATCCTTCTACAAACATCAAAGCTTCGAAAATACTCTGTCTGCTTCCCATACCAGCAACAAAGAAAAGTAGTGTCTGTCCAGCACAGCTGTCTGTATGGTGTGCATCATCAGAAGTCATAGTGTTCTAGCACAAACGTTGTGAGTGCAGATACTGTATACTAGCAGAGAGCTAAAACTTCTGAAGCTGTTGTCTGTAGCTCCTAGGAACAGCAAGTATGACAGGTGCAAAGCCTATATTTGAGGCAGAAGACTCTTCAATTTGATGGAGACCAGATCTTCCAAGGGGAAGAATTGCTGTCAAGCCAAAATGATTCTTTCTGCTTAAGAAAGCAATCTGCCCTTGCTAAAGGCTCTTGACTAATAGAATCCTACATGTTATTTCAGATCCTCCATGGATTCTGGTAGTTGTTAAGAACACCACAAATATTTCCATGTTTGCCATATCACTTAACCTTGTAATGTGCCTTCTTTGATCTGTTGAATAAAAAGATTCCTTTCATCTTCAGGTGTTCTTCCATTTTGTGCCCAAACTATACAAGTGGGCCTGTGAAGATTTAGCATGTATATCAAATGCTGCTTCTCATTCTTTAGCTCTTCAATTTGGGCTTTTAATTCAGCATTGATAGTTTCCAGCTTTTCTGATTCCTAGTCACAAAGAACAGAGACAACTATTAGACTGAGTATTTCAAATAGTTAATGACAATGTTTATCTAATGGTTGCAGTCTTTTATTGGTGGGAAAGCATATGGCTAACAGAAAGAAATTGCATGTTCGTAGAGTCCTGTAAGGATGAAACTGTACATCTCCCAGTTGATAGTCTAAAAACCAGGTTGACTGTTTCCTTCTTTGGCCTTTAGAGATGTGTAATGGAAGTTGAAAAGCCAACTTCAGGCTTGTATTCACTTACAATGGCAGGTATCCAAAGCATAATTGCAATCTTCTGCAAAATTATTCTGAACTTTTTAGGACAAAAACTGATGCAAAATTATCTACACTTCTTATCAACTCGCTGGAACATCATGTCACATATCTGTAAGCCCATGTTAAGCTAACAAAGTAAGGACATAGCTTTTTTTTTTTCCCCCCACCCCTAGATACAGGAACAAAGACAGGCCTGGTGCTGCTGTAATACAGTTTTATATTACGACAGAGCAGGTGAAGACACTACTGGGGTCTTAGGACAGAGACTTCAGGGCTAAGCTAGGATGCCACTCATTTCATAAAGAAGTCAGAGATTACTTGTTGGTGTTTGTAAGCTCTTGGTCTCCACAATGGATATTATAGGAGTTCTTTTTTTGTTCAATGTGCACATTCAAATTCATATTATCCCCCTAGACAAGCCTGGTCACTGGAACAGTAATCTCTCTTTACTCCTACTATGCTTTCACTTTTTTCCAGTTTTAAACAGGTTTGATTTAATATGTAGCATGTTCAATTTTTCTGTAACTAATGTTTTGATGGGTTTACAGAGTTTTGGGTGTCATGTTTCTGTATTTCTTACTATGACACTGCCCCTGTGCTGTCTGGTCAGATCCTGGCAGGATTATGAACAATTCAAGCCAGTCACTTACTTTCTGCAAACATTCTGTTTTTTCCTTCTTTTTGTTTCGGCACTTTGCAGCAGCAATTTTGTTCCTTTCCCTTCTTCGCTTTTTTCTTTCATCCTCTTCAGGAGAAAACTACCTCATGAAAACAGATACACACAATCCGTAAGATGTTGTAAATACTCTACCTGTATTTTGATAACTTCTGCATTTTTAAGAGCAACATGGATAATGTCAGTGCTCACATCATGAGTTACATAAGGATGTGATTCTGACCTTGCCTGGCATACAGTAAAATGGTAGGAACTCCATTAGAATTGTCAATAAAAACCTGACTGGAGTTTGGATGGATGTAATTTATGTGATGCCTCATTTTAAATCAATGGTACTCAAAATCTTGTCAAACATCTCCCCAGGCTGACTCCCACACCTCCATCTCTCCTCCATTTCCCAAGGAGGAATAGGAGCAAAGGGCACGGGGAGCAGAGGATGTGGCATGAATGAGGCATTGACAGTGCAGTGAACTAAAGGTAGTGCCAAAATGGGATATTAACACACTCCTTCAAGCTTTGTTTTGTTTCCTGTGGAGGCTCAGGTGTAGCTATTTTCCTAACTTAGGCTATTTCTCCACTTTATAAGAGAAATGTTTTTCATGGAGACTACTATCTTAAAGTAAAAACCTAGTGTGGACACAGCACGGCTCTGTCTTAGTCTAGCCCATGTGGGAACTACTAGACTGTCCTCAGTGAAATAAAGCTTCAGCACTGGCTTATTCCAAGTTCAGCCAAAAGGAGGCAGGGAAACCAGATTAGAAGTTGCTCTAGTCACTGTAAAGCATTGTCCTTAGTCCATAATAAAAAATATCCAACTATAGGTCTCAATGGAAATGAGAAATATCAAAGGGTTTCCCAGAAGCACTTAACAGAAAGCTAAGCAACAAGCTTAAAAGGATCAAATGTGGTGGAGAGGGAATTATTGGTCTTGTGGTGAAACTATTTATTAGAAAATTAATAATTCACACTGAAATGCTATTTAAAAGAGTCATACCTCTGTTTTCATGACTGATGTTTCAATTGGCCTTTCAGAAACTGTCACCGTGTCCAACGTGGAAGACATCCTGTGGGACTGACGCTTATTCTGAATGGCGAACCTCAGTTCCTCTTTCACCAGTGGGGTTAAATTTGTGAAATCATCAAACCCCAGTGACCCTGCAGGGGACAAAGTGGGAACAATTGCGGAGGCGCTGACTTCTAACGCAGATACCTGGCCTGAGTGTTGGACCATCATTTTGCTGAAAGGTAAGAAGAGATAATGATATAGTCTTTCAACAACTTTAGAAAGGCAAATAATACCTCCTAGCGGTATATTTTATAATGTGAAATAGTACTGTATTTCTTGTATTGCTTCAGTCTCCATTCCCTTTCACCCCAGTCTCTCACTAGTTAAAGTAGTTAAGAATCTGGTCACTAGTAAAATCTTCTACTTCAGGTTAACTTCAAGTTGGTATTTAAAAAATAAGAGTATTAGCACATCACACAACATCTAGGTCTTTGTGAAACTCAATGTGGAAAAAACATTGTGTATCTGTACATATACTTTGAAGTTTTTAATTGGTAATGCGTGGCAAATGAGAACTGAGTGAACAGGAAGAGAAAGAGAATAAGTAACAAAAATCAGAAAGCAAAGAAATATTGGTATTATTTAAATGACAGAAGGAGTTTAAAAGTATCTCCATCCTCAGAACTAACAACCACAACATTCCAGTTTCAAATCGACAGAGCGTACCTTGATCTCAACTACATTTAGGCAAAGTTCGAAGAGTTCTACTAGGAGCTGGTCTGCTAACCAAGACAGAATCAGTCACCAAATTATCATGCTCAGTTTTACAGAGTTGTAGATTTGGCTATACCTCCTGAAAATCAGTTCAAAATAAGAGCCAGCATAAAGGTAAAAGTCTATACACGTTTTGGGGCTTCAAAGCACAGGCTGAGTTGGAGGGATTGAGTAATGAAAAACGTGAAGCCGTTTGCTTCATTCCTTTGCACTTGTAAAATCTGAAACTGTCCTCACGTGCCCTCAACAAGAGGTTTGAAAGTCTTAAATATTTATGGTCAGATCTCCTGCTGATATAAAACAGTGTGACTGAAGAGACTGCAGGGGAATTATGCAGATGGACACCCATGGAGGAACTTAATTTCTAGTAGTTTCCCTAAGAAAATGAACCTACCCAACCATGCTCTCTACTTTCCTCTTTTTAGTCATTCTTATTATTTTTTTTAGCCAGTTTTGGAGGGAGTGGTGCCCCCTATGTGCTTTGTGAAAATTGGTGACCCCACTGAGGGAGGGAGAGGCAGAACTCAGCAGTCAGCCATCCAAACACCATGGGCAACCTGGCTAGCCAATGCACACAGCTCTGCATGACACAAACCATCTCTCGCCCAGAAGAGGTGAGATAAGAGGTCTGGAAGAAAGCTGAACACTTTTTGTGAGTGGCCCAAGGGACAGAAGGTGCAAATCCATAGGAAACCAGATTGTATTACTTCCTTTATTCGTAAAGCAACTTGTGTTGAATTAGATTTTACCATGTTGTTTTTCCAGCTTTCTTTGGTGTGTAGGTTTTGGGGGTTTTTTAATAGCTGTACAGGTAATTACAGTATGTGTTATCTACTCTTGATTAGAACTGTAATAATTATAGTAAAGTCAATTATAATTAACTTAGTGCAGGTAAGCATATAGTTGCCTCAGGGTAGCAATATGGGTAAGTTAAATTTCCACATGGTCAACACAGAATTGCACAGTTCCCCATATGCTACTTCTGTAACCCTGCAAGAAATGTTTGGGGTCATGTGCCCTGACAACAAGACAGATTTTGCTTAGAGTTATCTAAAAATACCCTGTAAATCCACACTGGTGCAAGTGAGAGTAGAATCTGGTTGATCACTAAGTGAGGTAAATATGAAAATGTGAGGACAGCAAATTGCCAGTTGGTAGAAAGTGCCATGTCCAGCTGCAGAGACTTCCTCACTTCTTCCTCACCCACTGACCACAGAAGAGCTGAAGATTTCCCAGAGTCTTGAGGTGAAATCCTGAACCCACTCTAATCAAGAGGACTTTTTCTGTTGACCTCAATGGGGCCAGGATTTCACCCGTAGTTATTAAAGATGAGGAAATTATTTGGAACAGTTTGTTATTCAGAAAGACCTTGGGAAATTTATGTAATTCTCTTCAAAAAGCCCCTGCTCATGAGTCACATATGAAGTACTGATACAGTTTAATCCTATAATCTCAGAAAGCTAACAGTCACTGTTTTCCAACAAGTCAGAAATGGCCCTATAATTTCCAGATCAAGTCCTCCCAGCATTATTTACAATTTAGAAACATTCACCTCATTTAAACAAGCTTATTCCAGATGACACCGAACCCCTCATTCCTAGCAGAAATTTTAGCTATTTCCACTGTATGTCAGTTGCCTTGGCTGCCAGTGATGGCTTCATTCAACAAAGTTAATTCTGTATAATTCAATCAAACCAGGAGTCTTAAATTAACAGTAAGACCATTTCTCCAGCCTACAAAACAATTAACTGAGCTAATAATTTTCAAACTCTGGTGGTTTATTCAAACATTTTTTCAGTTTAAGTGAACTTTTAATTAAGGTCAGCAGCGACACCACAGGAAACCAAGAACATTCATGCTTTAGTAACATGTCTGAGAGATTGTGTTAACCCTGGATTTCTACTAGCTAGTGCTAAGTGTACTGCAAGCACCAAAAAAATCCCTGCTATAATGTCCTCAGGTACTCTCATCTGTCTGTCATTAGAGTAAAAAAAGGAATGGGAGGGTGCCCACGGGGAGGGGACGCACAGAGGGGGAAGTGTCCTTGACCATAGAAACTTGCTGCTCTCCTGCCTGAACAGCTCACTGACCTTCCAGACATCCTGAAAGGCATCTCTATTTACTCAGACTTTAGGGAAGGGAGGACCTACCAGGGGGCTGAGGCTTGTGTAAGGATTTCTGCCGTGAGGCGAGCCTCATTTTGCAGAGCTGTTTGTCACTGGTTTGCTTTCCTGGGGAAGGGTTTCTGGACAGTGGCTAGTAGGGTAGGCTTCCAGTCTATTACTGGGATCGTTAGAAGCCACCGTGATAGAAATAACAAAAATAATCAGACTTATGTCAAAGCTACTCAGTAAGCTGAATAGATTCCCTTTTCATAACAGCAAGGTAGATGTTTTCCAATTTCTGAGGAAAAAAATTGCTTTTAGAAATGTTCTACAATAAGGAAAATTAGATTTTGCTATTTTAAAACATGCAACAAGTTGCCCTTCCTTTTTCCCAGTTTTTGTACAAATTGTACCTCTGTCTATAAACCATCAAAAGCACTATCTCTTTTCCTCTGGGTTTTTAAGGGTTGGGGAAACACTAGGAATAAGAATATCAAGCCTCAAAGTGTGATTCCATCTGAGCCTTTCTGATACGATCTCTGTTTACTTTGTTAGACCATGCACAGGGACCTGGGCTCAGGCTGACTTGAGTCCTTCTGAAGTTACTGACATTGAAGGTGCTATTTTACAAACCTGCACCGTAAAGACACAGCTTGTTCCCATTATGAATTAATGCTTCATTCCCTTATCCTTAGTTTTGGAATTCTCCAAAGAGAACAGCTTTTCTATTAATGGTACCCTCCCAGTTCACATAGATTCAAACAACTTTATCCATTTGTTCTCCCCCTACTTTTTTTTTTTTTTTTTTTTTTTTCTGGTGATGCTTTACATCTACAGTGAACTTTTGTATCTCATCTGCCAATATTTTAACTTCAAGACATACTTTCTATCTGTGCATTTTTATTATTTGACAGTATTCCTGTTTAATATTGACATTAAAAGTGACTACTTCAAGTCTTTTCCCTCTTGCTTAGCTGCAGATGGCTGACTGTGCCTCTTGGTTTTGTTTCTTCATATGAATTCCTTTTCCTCTGGTGCTGATGCAATAAACCCCAATAACTCTTGAGGTTAATCTTAAACAGCATTAAGAGCAATTATAGTTCACAACCTCCGTGCGCCCTGGTTGACCTTAAGCTTTCTGACATCCCGCATCATTCCCGAACCATTTTCTGCTGCCTTCCAGCTTCTCAAACACTGTTACTAGGAGAAAAATTGATTTCCAACAGGAAACTCATTCTCCAAGTTTGCTGTTGTGTCACGCCTGACTTGATGAAGCAACAGGCTAGCAGCTAATCTCCTTCATGTCAAGATACGGGGACAGAGAGAAAAGCGAATGTCCCTGGCTCCTTCCCGCCCATTTTATGTTCCTGTCATAATCGGGATTTTATGTCCCTGTCCTAGATCCGCACACGGCAGCGCGAGGTTACCCATCGCCTGCCCGGTCCCGCTACAGCTCCTCGGTCCCTGTCCCCGCGGACCC